TGGCACTTGAGCACAGGTGGCCGGTTGAATTCAAACCCAAGATCCCAGCAGCGTTGCCAGCTCAGTGATTGACTGCGCAATATTAAATGGAATAACTCGGCGTGTTGATGCCCTTCATGGGGCTTATAAGAGTTCACGTACCGAGTCAATGCCCTTGTGCATTTTAAGAGATCACTCACGCTGGCTGGCGCCTGTGCGCACACGTCGGCATAGGAGGAGAATTTCTATTCACTCCTCATAACTGTATTACTCATTCATTTGCACATCTGCCGCACGCTATTCCACTGCGCTACAGTACCAAAATGCCTGAGATGCTTTGTTCCAATATATAATGCACCGGGAGACCGGTTCACATAGCTTTATTGAGCCGTTTTTCTCTATATATTTCTCCCGCTCACTCACTCGCTCACCCGTTCGCTGTCTGACTAATATGTGAATGGTTCTACGGACATAACTAAAACGTGGCCTTCCTGACATTTTATACTCACTCAATAGCCCTTGCCCATCCCCCCCCCCCCCCCCGCAATTTGCTTCCCCCCCTACCCCCACCGATAATGTATATATCTGCAAAAATTCTGCAACCTTCTTGGACCCATTCATGCGCTGCAGATGCTGTGCATGGGTTCAGGACATGCACAATGTCGTTATTTACACGAGGCCAAAGCACCATGGCATGGATCAGAAAGATGGAATCACATGTGAAAAGTGTTTAAAGAAACAGAGAAGTACATGATTGGAATAAGAGAGAATCAGGAATAGGAACTTCATGAATCTGGATGTTTGGTATGTGGGGGTGGGAGGGTTAAACTTGCCCGGATGGTGAAGTATGTGCAACTCTGGTGCAGCGGTTAGCGTGCTGCGCTACGAACCCGTCGTCCCGATTTTGATTGCCGGTCACGGCCAACACCGGTGACGATTATTGGAACCGGTGCTGGGCCTGTCCTAAGTCAGCTCAGCCTTAAAATGAGTACCTGGTGCGGTGTATAAACATCGCTACTGGGGCGACAAAGGCGGCTGGGTGTGGTGCTGGACACCCATCCCCTCCTGTATCGTGCTTGCCTTCATAGGTGCTCTCTAACAGCACTTGTCCCAACAGCCTGTGAAAGGCTATACGGGGGATCTTTGTCATTGTCTTTTGCAACTTTGCCCCCTGGACACAGATGTCACGGCGTGTGCTTTTCTCGGGCTGGTTTTTGTCTTAAAAATTTTTTGGCAACCCTTCGACCAATTTGGTGAGTATTGTTTATATACTGTACAGTATATGGTAAATACCTAAGAGGAACACGACTTTGTCCTAAATTTTCATTCGCATTGGAACATATTGACGAGAGTAATCATGCCCCCTCGTTACGGATGGACAGCGATCGTGCATGTGCGCTTTTGACCTTAGCTGGAAAACGTTAAAACTGCTTTGAGTGGAGGCGCTCTCACGCGGGGAGGTTGGTCTCGCTCGCCTCCTTCAGAGTGTGAATTGAGAGTCGCAGGAGCCCACCCATGGCCATTGCAATTAATTCCGTTGACATGGTCCGGCAGGAATAGGTGGCGGGGTCGGGATGATCAAAGACCTGACTGGCGAAAAAATCACCGAGGCTATGGGGCTTTGGTTTCGTTGACCTAAATCGTGCGAAATGCCCCCTTATTGTGCGCGGATCACATTGATAAGCTTAGTTTAACACCGTCATTGTAAGCACAACAAATGCGACGTTGCTATTAAACCGTTGCACAATGGTTTCACTGTACTTTGATATCAAGTGGGTCACGTGTTTATATAACGTTTGCGTCGGGTTTCTTTAAAGATAGAGTTTGTTATGCAAAGATGCGTGAAGTGTCGCATGCTTGGAATTGGAGAGACGGGAAGAAGAACACGTGGACCAGATAACTTAGACAAATAAGGGAAATCAGCTTCACTGTTGAAAAAAAAGCGTGTTTAGGGAATTGGCAGCCAAAGGAGCGAGCACTACCAGGAGGACCTCTACTGTGGAGATGGAGCGATGAGATCATCTCGTGCGTTTGTTGCAATGGTTTGTTGATGGCGACAGCTTGGGAAGATCGTCATCCAGCAGTGGGTAGATCCCGGCTGCCGACGATAATAAGTGGTTGCATGAGCAGCACGCGGTAGGCAAACTGCCTTTACAATGGGCACATATGCGCTGGCTGCAGCCTGTTGGCATATTGCTTACTGATATTGAGAATGCGTTCGTTGATACCTAGAAAAAAAAATAAACCTGAATTTGTATAGCGTCTAAATATAATGGACTTCTCAAGTACTCGTTATAAGCGTCTTATATAACAGAGAGTGCTCGTTCGAGCAACTGCAGTTCGTTCAAGTATGCCGTCGTGTTTGTTCGTCATCTCTATGGCCTTCAACGTGTGCACAGGGTTCGATTGCTATCGTGTGCATGATGTACAGTATGTGAACACTGCACTTGGAATAATTAATCAATTTCATCCCTTTTCAATCCATTGCTCTACGAAGACTTTCCCATGTCGGTGCGCAGGCCACTTATTTTTTGTTAAGACAATACGTGTGTACGTATACGGCACACACACACTTCTGAATGTCGCTACACAATAACAGAACAGGATTAGAGCAGCCAGACAGCAGCACACGCGACTTTGTTCATGGCAGTGTGACCGTCCAAGCCTCCACACTGACTCCAGAAAGAGCAAAGATCGTACCCCGTGTGTGCAATGTACGCACTCAGTTACTTCACTGTATTTAACAAACTCACGATCCTCATGTTCAAGCGAGCGTTAGGCGGAGATCAAATCAGTTGACGTTACTCCTATTTTTGTAATTTTACCAGGTAAGGCCCACTGAGCCCTGTAGCTCTTGTTCAGAAGCGACCTAGACCAAAAATGATAGCTCAACGAAGTGGCTTATCACGTGGAAAGTGTATAGCAGCCAAATACTTGAAACGCACGTTTCTAAATGTGTAGGGAAAGACCAGAGGACCCGGAGAAAAATCCATGTCATCACGGGGAGAACATGCAAACTTCAAATATGCAGGCGTCAGGGTCGGGATCGAACCAACGACCTCCCGTATACCATGCGAGGTAGATGTTAACTACAATTATTACAATTCCACATTGGTATGGAGGTGACAAGTCCATTCGCAGGACGACCACTGTTGAGCTCGTTTAATTGGCATTGGAGGAGTGATGCTGCTGATGGCAGTGATGATGATGACAAGAATGAGGTCACGCTTGTGAAACGTACGCAGCGTGGTGAGTGCACTCTAAGCACCCGTACAATACGGGCGGAGAGTCCCTATACCGCTACTCACACCGATCCATTGGGTACAGAGTGGCAGAGGGGTATAGCGAGTTTTCGCCCACAGCACAAGTGAAGAGGTCCCCCGTTCTAGCATTACCCACGAGACACCGTTGGCAGCAATCTGAATACAAACTACAAAATATTAAATTTAATTAGACATTATTACAGCATACAAATCCAACAGCACTTGCCCCAACAATCTGTAAAGCTTAAACGGGGGGTGTTTGTCTTTCGGGCCGTCCATAAATGACGTCACGCACCTGGGGGGGGGGGGGGTCAGGCATTTGTGATGATGTGTGACGAGGGGGGGGGGGTTGACAAATATAACATCACATCAAAATGCGCAACTTTAAATAAATATAGCCAACACGTTCTACTTAATTAAATATGCTTTTTGATAAATGTTTTCTCCTACAACATCGGAGTGCAGCGCCACATTAAATACGCACTACAATGACAATAGTTTAAAGCGATTTGAAGCATGTTTTTTTTTTGGGGGGGGGGGGGGGCAGAGCTTTGTGACGTCAAATTTGAGGGGGGGGGGAGTCTGACTTTTTGTGACGTCGTGTGACGAAGAGGGGGTGGGGTAAAAAATCGTCCAAAATCGCGTGACGTCATTTATGGACAGCCCCAAAGGGGGCCGGGAAGTGGTGGTGCTGGCCAAACAACTCGCTCGTGATCAGTGCCGGTGTTAAGAGGGGCTCGCTAACAGCACTTGCCTCGAGCTTGCGTTGTGTTATTTTATTATTTCTGCATTGCCTTTAAACACGTGCTCACGCACTCACGCACGCGCGGTCAGCTGTGCAGGCCGTGACGTCACATAATAATTAAATAAATGCGCAACACCACCACCCCCCCTACTGCCCCAATTCACATGTCATCGTAGCGAAATCTATCTTTCTAGCTCTCAAACAATGAGCGTCTTTGGGTGGAATACGTATAGTTAACAAAATAGGCCGGCAGATGAGAATATCTTATTCAGATATCTGGCTCTCTACATCAACAAAATACACAGATGCAATTTTTTTTATTACCCAAACCCATCGGCCCCCACGGCCTTCCGTGGAAGTGGAATTAATTCAGCAGCATTGACTCGGCACAAGCAACACTCTGAACGGGTGTCGACATGCAGTGAGTGTCTCGTGAGTTCAGGGGGCAGATAAATGTTGAGATAGAGTCCCCTTATATTTTACGTATATACTAAAAATACAGTTTATAACAATCATACACATGTAATAATTGCATATATATGTATTTGGTGACAGCTTAACACGTGGGCTTTCGCAACCAATAATTATCCATAATAAAGGGTGTTTTTTTCGGTTAGATCACGTAAATGTGTCGTTAACCCCACCACCACCCGACACGGTCATATTCGTACCAATTATGTGACTACTTCAACACACCCGAGTGTGTTGGGAGAACAATTACTACCACCAGCTTCATCAGGCAAATTTGCCTGAATTATAATGAATCAGAGCGAATATTTATTTATTATTTATTTGGTGACGCTCACTCGAGCGGCCAGGAGTGGAGGAGAGGGAGGAGTGAGGAAGAAGAGGAGGAGGGAGGGAGGGGGGGTGACAGCCCATTGACCAATCACAGACGAGCTTCAGGGAGGGGGGGGGTCCGTCTCGACGTTCCCATTGGCTGAGGTGGTCGCGAGGAGGCGTGGCCACGTCTCCAGGGCGCGCGAGGGGCTCGCGGCAGTCGCGCGCCAGAGCCGAGGAGGAGTCCGGGCGGGGAGGTCACGACCGGCGAGGCGGTCCCTGTGAGTCTCGCTTATTTTCATCTTTCAAAACGATTATTGTCGCGACTGTTAATGGTTTTTTGTGGATAGCCCCGCCACTACTCGCGCCGTGTGTGTGTGTTTGTTTGCGTGTCGTTCTGTTCGACTATTCGGCCGATTTGTGTTGTTCATTGAGGTGTAATTGTTCAGCGGGGACGTGGTTTTTTGTTGTTATAATGGTTGTCTCTTTACTGGCGTCGTTCTGTGCTGCCGCTGTCGTGTCGGTGCGAACGTGTATTTGTGTTGCGTCGGTACACGTCGCCTTGACGTGCACCTAGCCTGGCACGACATCCGCGGTGTACGGAAAACCGCCGCCAAAGATGGGCGAATGGCGGCCACGCAGTACGTGGTGGTGGTGGTGGTGGTGTACAATGTGGGTGGTGTACAATGCGGGTGTGTAATGTCTAAGCGGAGTGTTGGTGTCGACAGTGTCAATGTGTACGTGACTGTACAGTGTACTGTATAACAATGCGGGGGAGCGGTGGCGCAGCGCTTAGCGCACTGCGCTTCGAATCGGGCGGCCCGTGTTCGATTCCCAGCTCACGGAGCGATCACAACGACGGCGAATTTCCGAGCCGTTCCTGGGCCTCCCGCCACTAGGTCGACTCAGCCTCAGATGAGGAGCTGGTGCGGCTTGTCGTAAACATCGCCGCTAGGGAGACAAAGGCGGCCGGGCGTGGCGCTGGCTACCCTCCGTCTCGTGTGCTGTGCCGGTCTTCATAGGTGCTCGCTAACAGCACTTGCCCCAAACAGTCTGTCAAGGTTATACGGAGGATTTTGTGTCTTTGTTATATATATATATACAGTACAATACTGTATACAGATTATGATGGCATGCTGTGACTTGGTGACCTCCGTGGTGAAGTATGGTCAAATAACCCCTGTGACAGGCACGGCGTGACGGGGGGGGGGGAGAGGCCCTCACACCAGCAGTGGATCCTGTAATGGTGTGAATTTGTCCTTGTGGTTCGTATTTGCATTAATGTGGTTTGTGCATTTGTGTGTGTGTGCCGTGTACGCGGTAGGCCACGTTGTGCCACCCAAGTGCACCTAGCCTGGTGCCGGCATCGCCACTGAGATACACGAACGGCGTCTGCTCTGTGAGTGTGAATCGATGTAGGGGAGTGCGTGATGGTGGCCTCTTCATCATCCTACAGCGCTTTGATTAAAGGGCTGTACAGAGCCTGCAAATGCGTATCGGTGTCATTGTGTCGGAATGTATATAGTTTGTGTGTTAAGCGTCGATGTAGTGCATCATATTGCACGGTGTGTGTGTGTTGGAGTCTATTGTTGTGTGTGTGTCTGTGGAAGTTGCCGTGGTCAGATGTTGCACGAAGACCCAGATTAGATGTGAGGACATGCTTCTCTCTGGGAATTGGTATCTTAACCTGGCCTGAGCCTCCCCTAGGTCAACTGAGCCTGAACTCACTATCCGCTGTCATGGGATGGGCCGCATCAACTGGGGAGACAAAGGTGGTAGCACTGACATGAATGTTTGCATGTCACCCGACCCTTCTCGGGCCTTATTAGGAGCTTGCTAACAGGGCATTTGGGTATATCCCAGTTTGTTTTTACAAAGTGCGTGGATTATATAAGTCCGTGAATTGTTAATTTGATTTTAATCCAGTCCAAACCTTTGCTGTTAGCAATACTGGAGCCCCTTAGCTGACCAAGGGTTTGTCATGCTGCACTGTATTGCTCATTGTTCCTTGTGATAACGCGGCTTAGGCGGTCGAGGGGTGACTAAAATGGGCACAGGCAAGCGTCATTGTTATTTAAAAATATATATTGCGTGAATTCAATCTCGCGTAGTTTGTTGCTGCTGTATTGTTCGTGTGTCATCGGTTTTTTTTTTCAAAACTGGCTTGTGCGGTGACGTCATGTTGTTTTTGCGGGTTGCGAAAAAATAACTTGACTTTGAACTTACGGAACAACATTTCTCAGTGTTGCTTGTGTTACGTCTGTTCGACGTGGAGATGTGAAATGGCCACGCCACGTGCGGTTTGTTGTTGAGCTTGTGACACGTTTAGCTCCTTGAAAAAACACACCACTAACAAACAACAAGAAGGAATTTCCGTGGGCTGAAAATGGGATTGAACCCTCTTGGTTGACGTCAACAGATCCCATCAGAAACGGAAGCAGAAGAGGGGGTGGGTGGCTTGCCGTCAAAACGGTTGCAAGAGAGGACAGAAAAGAGGAGGAAGTCTGGAAAGAAAAGGCGCTTTAATACAAGGGAAATTCCTGCGCGGGTTTTAATTCGCCTTGTCAGACATAGACTCTGTTCAATAGCGGGTCAGCTAAACCGTTCAAAACAGCTGTTGTGTGTTTTTGGGAGTGACGAGGCTTTGTTGAGGAGTTCGCTTTGCCAACTAAAATTGCAAACAATTCACATAGGTAGTGGCTGCGAGCAAGGCCCTATGTAGCTAATGGCAGTAGATTGTATACTGGTGATTGACACTGCATTATGGGTACGTATAGGTCTAAGTCTGCCTTTGTAATAACTGGATGCTATGGAAACGCAGGGATTACATTTTACCATGGGGTGAGGGGAGGCCTTAATAAAGCAGTGGATTGACACGCAGCTTTTCATGTGCACATTTAGGAGAGAAACATGTACAAATAATGAAAAGACACTTGGGACTTTCAGGAGGAGGGTCCTGACGTTGGATGTGTGGCTTGTGGGAACAAACCGGTGGAAACCCCCACATACAAGGGGGTAACACTCAAAGCTCTGTACGGATGGATTCAGGAATCCATGGCTCTTCTGTCATTTGGTCAGCTCCCAACTCCAGGTGTCACAAAGCAGTCTCCCATCCAAGTAATAACCAGGCTTAGCCCTACTTTATTTCTGGTCATTATTTGAGTGATGAAACTTAATGACAATATATATTTGTTATATATGTTTTACATTGTCATGACGATTGCAGCATTGGCAAATTTGAGATTGTTAATACTTTATTCATGTATGTTTATATCTGTATTTCTTCAATCCCATTTTCAAAAAATATCTTCTAATGTTGATGTAAATAGCCTTGGTGGAAACATATCTCCTGGCCAAACACCTATTTTGATTTGTATATGTTTTACTTCATGCAATTGCCATTTCATCTTTGTAATTGAACTACAGGACATTTATGAAATAATTTACCAAAGAAGGCTGCAAAGTAGCGCTACGGATAACACAGTTTCCGGTGCAACATTGCTTCATAACGCCTGGAAATAAAACATTGTCTACATCGACGACAATTAGTGAAAGTGGACTTGGATAAAATGTATTAAATTAAGAAGCTAATGAGACCAATGTGGAGTCATTCTCTCGCATTTAATTTGAGAGTGAAAATAAGTGGTAAATATTTCCTGCTTTGACGGATTAGAAATATGGATGCTGACAAAAAAGCTGCTGACGAAAGAATAAGGAATACACGGATGAGAGAACAAACACTAGTTAGGCACCATATTGGCTGCTCAAAAAAGTAAGTGGGCTTGCGCAGGACAAACACCCCGAGAAAGGATGATGGGCTTAAGGATGAGACCGATGACAGAACAGCAAGCCAAAGGAGATACGATGCCTGAGAGAATAACCAATGTGGAGTTGGAGTGATGAAATCGGCCCATGTGCAGGAGCGACGTGGATTGTGGCAGCGCGGGACCGTTCATCCAGATATTGGTTAGATCCTGGCGCCTGCTGCTGATGATGTTACGTTTGACGTAATTTTTCCTCCATCTGTCACGTAACCAAATGTTCTCCATTTTATTGGCTGCCTCATTTGCACTTTTGATTTGTTCCGCAGAAAAGCGCTTGTGAGCACGCTTCACCTGGTGCGCAACGTACGGTGGGGTCGGTGACACCTTCGAGAAAAAGGAAACCGGTGTGCAGGCTTTTATACCTGCATTTCATTTGGCCGTGGACAACCCAAGGTAGCGGAGAGTGTTTTGTTGATTTTCTGCTCGTTGCGAGCATAATTTTCCAAAGTGTCCTTGAATTCTGCTCCTTCAATCAGGCTTACAAATGATCGCAATGCAAATAATTTGCTGATTCCCTTTGCTTTAAAATATAGCCACGTATATTTATGCAGGGAATTGTATGTTTAGTAGAAGACGCATGTTGGCTTGGACCAGTTTTCACTTATTTAAATAATGGAATTTAGTGTGTGCATTATTCATGTTGTGCATGTGCAAGCATTTATTGATAAACATGTTACCAGCTTTGGGTTTATGATTGCCATTTTTAGAAGCATTTGTTTTGCTTTGGCACTAGATAAAAAAATGTAGTGCACATATTAGGAACATCCTTGTTTGTGTTATCTGCTAACGGAGGGCTCCAATCACATGGATGTGATTACATGCATACGTGCGTTATGACTGTGTATCTTGGTGTGTTTATGTTTTTTATTATCTTGTTGTGCATGTCAGTTAAGTATATCTTGGTGTGTGTGTGTGTCTTCAAATGCATGTATATATGCGTTTGGGAATATAGTTCATTAATGTGTGGTTGGGGCACGCAAGCTTGCGTCCTGTCGTTGTGGTTTGGACGTTTGGGTTTACAAAAAATATACACAAAGCCAGCTCTCCCATTGCTACTATCAGTATTGTGATTGGTGTCCGTTCAGATAATAAACTTGATTTCTACTCGATTCCAAGCCCACAGAAAGAAAATTTAGTCTGTACGGCTGCAAACCCATTCACCCGTTACGTTAGGAAGGGCGGCGTACTTTTCTTTGAATGCGACAGATTTCCGAGTTGTTGAGACCTCCAAAGTGTGCTGGGATTCTCGAGATTGAAGTGAATCCTTATAAAAAAGTCTTCCCGTTTTTGACTGACGTGGAGGACCGGGCATTTCTTCCACGGAGTGCCGATCGCTGTGGACTTTGAGCAGCGCTAATGAGAAATGGTGTTTCGTGAGGATAAAGCCCCCGGGATGCAGTGTGTGGGCCAGAATGGCCGGCCACGTATGCATCTGTCCCACGGTTTTGCCGGCTTGTAGGGTGGTGGTCTTTTGTTGCAGCAGAAGGAGTTGGTGGGGGGTGGATGCAGCTGAGTGGACGGCACAGCTTTTTTGGCAGCACCTAAAGTGTCCGTTATTCAAAGATCTCAAAGCGCTTGTTGTTTTCCTAGGATGTGGCAGATAACCGATTCTATCCATCCAGTTACAAATCAACAGCAGCTCATTACCTACCCGGGTTGTGATGAAATGTGGACCCTGCTGTTTGCGTATGTTTGTTTCCCCCCCACCCCCTGGCGTTATTGGATCTGGATTGGTTATTTATTATTTTTGCCTGCTTTTAAGAAATCTGTTCAGAGTAGCCCGAGCTACGTTTGTGCATTTATTCAAGCAGTGTTTTTTTAAAGGGTTGAAAAAAATGAATTGGCAGCTTTGTGGTGTTTCACAATAGATCCAAAAATAAATAAGGAGAGGTTGTTTTTGTGAATCTGTGTGCGTGCAAGAGGGAGCATCCCTGCATGGCATATGTCACGTGCCACGTGCAGAGGGGTCGTGTGCAATTTTTGAACGCAAAATGCGCCTTTATTTGCACTTGTGATAATTGACATTATTCATTGTGAAAGCAGTGTTGTAGCCGAGGATGAAATTGGAAAACAGATGCTGTTTTATTCAATATCCCTATGCTGGTGTAGTAAAAATACCTTGTAAAAAAAAAGGAAATCAGGCCAGCTATGCTGCTTTCTGTGCTTGTGAGAATATCGTATTGAAGAGAAAGAGATGAAGGGGGGGGGAGCAGCATATACGAGTGGGCACCAGGAATTAAAATACAAATTTGATGTCATTTTTTAAATTGTACAATGTAATTAATTCATCAAAACTCCTGAGTCAACTGCACATTGCGTGAATTGGATTTAATACGCTCTCTCTTCTCCATCGGTAGCTTCCTTTCTTTTCTTTCTCTGATCATTGAGGTCGCTTCCTGTAGCGTCCTCTTCCTCGTTAAATCCTCTGCCGTCTGTCCACAAATTGTGTGGACGGACGGCCTGTGTGCGGGTAGCTTTTTCCACACGGATGTAAAAAATCACTAATCGGAATTTGTTGGCCTCCAATCTTTCCAAAGCAAGAACATTGTCCGCATCTTTGTATATTGTTCACAAAAGTCTTCTTCCGGCCTTGCTTTTCATCTAGGGTTTCATTTTGTATGAAATGAGGCTTAATACAGAAGGGAAATGTGTGGGTGCATGGTTGTGTTGGTCAAGGTGTAATCTTGTGGAAACTGCGTGGGTGGGTTGTTGGGAAGCTTTGTGTCTGGTTGATGATATTAGTACATCCCTTTCCTGTTGGTTAGCATTATGCAAATAACTCTTTCCACTGCTCATAAGCACATAATGACGTCATGAAAGAAGTAATTAAATTTTAAATCCCACGCAAAACGGATGCGGAAGCTGACTCGGATGAAAGACTGAAGCTGAATTTGATCAAGAGCTTTTAGTGTACGCGAGTATTTGTTTTATGAAGGGTGGTATGAAGTAAAGGATACTTTGAGGACTGGTGCTGACAAGTGCACATGCTGCCATTATTTTTTTCTCGATGCTTTATTATTTATCTGGGTCCAGTTGTATATTGTTCTATAACCTTGTCTTAACATGCTTCGGTAGGACACACTGACTACCGGTGGCCACTTGTATCATGAGAGTTGCCTGGCAGTCTACTGACCATGTCACCTGGTCGTGTTTTTTTTCTTCCTTTTACTAATCAACTTAGTCAATGGATCCATGGCAGATTTTACACATTTCTCTCACCCCCGTGACTTTTGTGGGTTTTGGTGGGAAGACGGCAGTGGTCATCCGAATTTCACCAAATCCCCATAAATATGTCTGATCTCATTAGATCTCCGAAGCTGCACACGGTTGAGCTTGACGACATGCCTGCTGGGAATACCAGGTGCAGTAGGCTTGGGGCTGCAAGGTGGCCTGGAGATGGCAGCCCAGCAATAGTTGCTTGAATTTATGTGTGCAGATCTTTAAATGTTACCCTATTGTACGCTTGATACTTCTCAAGATACTCCGGCTTCCTCTCACAAGCCACTCATGAACTGAATTGGCCAGCCATTGTAATGCAGCACCCTTCAAAAAAAATACTCTGGAGATTCCGTGGAGCTTTCCTGGATAAATAAACAACATTATTGTTATCTCAAATATGGCAAGGCCATGATGAAATATGTATCAAATGCGCAACGCTATGGGAAAACGCCACGGTATCTTGCAAATCCCTATGGAGAGGGCATATTTGCACAGGTGTGGATTCTTTCGTCGCACCTGCCTCCAGTTAAACGGCCGTGGAGGTGGGCACACACACAGCGAGGTGCAGAAGGCAGGCGGCGGTGAAAAGCCCGAGACGGGCAGCGCAGCCCGAGCGGGAGCAGAGGTGGAACGAGTCAAACGCGCCGTGAACTTGACGATCGCCAGAGGAGTCGTGTACACTTGGCAGCTCGCGACGACTGCTCCGTTAATTTAGTTTCACGGCGCATATGCACGGCATTGCACGTGATTAATGTCGCTCTGATGTTGTGCTGTGTTCGGTTCGCCGGATGGGTGAGAGAGAGAATATATCTGGAAAATAGGTGAGGATGAGTAACGTTCGTTCGACACTCGTCACTATGGCTATGACACATATAATAATAGTGATGGGTACCTTTATGATGTATGTCCATTCGTAATGTATAATTGTTACGTACGAGGTGATTATGCAGCTTATGTACAGGTTTAAATATTTGGGCACTCGCCCAGCAGTATAAGTGCACCACAGTTGGTCAATAGACAGGTCACGTATGGTGGGGTAAGTGTGAGTACAAATGTTCCTCTAGATGGGCTCTCCAGCATTCCCTCGAGTGAAGGCCCTTCCGCCAGCAGTGGTGTGAGCAAGCAGTTGCAGGGCTGCACCATTACCAAGTACAAAAAACAGCACAGTGTGTAATTGAGAGGAAGTGAGAAAAGGCTGTGAACCAAAATTCTCGGATATTTTTTGCTTTAGCATGTTTATATATATATGTGTGTGTGTATATATAGCTACCGTACCTAATGTTTTTGCTACCGTTCATTCCACAACACTGCTGAGACTTCCTCTCCACAATACGACTCTCCGGGGCGGGGGTAATGTTTGAAGATTTAACATTCTTACAGGCGAGGCTGCATTCCACCCAGGAAGAAGTGAACCAGAGACAACGGGCGGGCTAGCTGATAGGGCTGTCTGGTGTCGTAGCTCACCGAGTCTGCGTGCTGACACACGCTGGCGCTCACGCCGTTCCTTCGTAATTATAATCGTCGTCTTCGCGTTGGCCCGCCGCAGTCGTTTTCTTTCGCCCGTGAAACAACGGCGATAATTGCGGAACGCACCTCGCGTGTGCCGTGACCCGTGTGTGGCAGCGACGGTGTGGAGGAGCGACGTTGGCAGGTGTGGGCTTGCATGCTCCACGCGGCCTCTAGGATTTGTTGTACGTTTTGCAAATGATCTCATGGCACGCGTCTCTTATAAGCGGACAGGATTAAACGGCGTACAGTAACGTCTCACGAATAACGCGTTTCAAATTATTTTAGTGTATCGCCGTTTTGCGTAAATACAGGAAAGATGTGGGCTTATTTTTCTTGCGCGTGCAAACTGTTCGCCATGAGATTTTGACATTATTAAGGGATTACCAACTCCACCTGCGATCATGGACAATGAATAATATAATTAATTTTCATTCATTCCCAAACCTGTCGAAGCTGACGTTTCTCCTTACCAGCCTCGCACACACACACACCTCTCCAATTCCCCCCGAGTCATTGTGCAATCAGAGCAAAGAGAGAGAGAGAGGGGACCGACAGAAAAGGAAACCTAAAGCACTTTAATCAAAATTCCTGTAAAACGCGCATGCGTGCTATAGTGTGTGTTCTTGCGAGCGAGTGAGCGGGGCGAGCAAGTTATTTATTTATTT